CAGGGTGTAAAAATGTTAAAAAAAATAACTTTAATAACTAAAACCTAACTAACTGCTAAGATAAATTAGATAATTAAAAAAATTAATAGCCTGGGCTCGGTGTCCATAGCTCAGTGAGTAGGGTGGGTTCAAACCCAGCTCGGGCCTGCTAAACAACAATGACAACTGCAACCAAAAAATAGCCAGGCCTTGTGGTGGGTGCCTCTAGCCCTAGCTACTTGGGAGGCTGAGGCAAGAAAATCATTTAAGCCCAAGAGTTCGAGGTTACTGTGAGCTGTGATGCTACAGCACTCTAACGGGCAACATAGTGAGACTCTGTCTCAAAAAAAAAACAATTAATAGTCTGAATAAAAGTACCCATTTAAAAGCCGGAAATATAAATTCTTTTTTTTTTTTTTTTTTGAGACAGAGTCTCACTATGTTACCCTCAGTAGAGTGCCGTGGCATCATAACTCACAGCAATCTCAAACTCTTAGGCTTAAGAGTTTAAGGGGCTTAAACAATTCTCTTAGGCTTAAGCAATTCTCTTACTTCAGCCTTCTGAGTAGCTGGGACCACAGGCACCCACCACAGCTGCTATTTTCTTGTTGCAGATGTCACTGCTGTTTAGGAAGCTGGGTTTGGGCTCAAATCTTCCAGCCTTGATGCATGTGGCTGGCGCCATAACCACTGTGCTATGGGATCTGAGCCCGTAAATATAAATTCTGCTTCTGTCTGTATGTCTTGTCTGCTTATGTGACTGTATATGTCATGTGCCTGTGACATTTCACTATCAAAATATGCAAAAGAACTCTGATTTTAAAAATATTTAAAATGCTTATCCCAATCTACAGACTATATGCCAAAAGAATCACAATTAAAGACTTGTCTCTGGGCTCGGCGCCTGTGGCTCAATCGGCTAAGGCACCAGCCACATACACCTAAGGTGGCGGGTTTGAATCCCCAGCCCGGGCGCCAAACAACAATGATGGCTGCAACCAAAAAATGGCTGGTGCTGTGGCGAG